GTCACGTGGCATGGGTGCTAATGAGTCATGCGAGCACAGGTGTTAATGAGTCACATGAGTGTCAGTGTAACGCTACAAGCATATGCTATGTGGTGGGGGTGAGGCCTTGAGGGACACAAGCGCTAGTGCAAGCGTCACACAAGCACATATTGTGTGGATGCGCAGGTGCGGAACATGGACTTGAGTTAAATTCAAGTCAAATCCAGGTTAGCAATTTGACCTAGACACTACCCAATTTTTTAAATAAGTTAAAAATTGTGACATAAATATGAACCATTGGTTAAATGGTTGACCCGAATATAGAATTTTTTCTGGGTTTGGGTTGGGTTATCGAGTAATGTCATTAATTTACACTTGAGTGCAAGTTTGTTGATTCTAGAAAAGGACCCATATCACCATCTAGTAGTTTACCGGAGTGCCCAAAATGTGACATGAGACATGCATGAAAATGTTATATGATCATAGGACAATGTTTCAAATATGGATAGTATGGTTACAAGATGATTAATTATCCATAGAGAGGATATAGTGAGAGATCAGTGTCTAGGATAGATCAATTTAAACAAGCATATAGATAGAGAATTGCAGGATCTTGAATGTCTAGTCAAAGCTTGGTGAGTGATCTAGATGGAAAAAATATGAATGGGAGTCAAAGATAGCACCGGTACAACCAATGATGAAAAATTTGAGTCATTGGGAAGTGAGAGATGCACCAAAGAGCATTGTGAAAATTAATTGTGAGCTAACGCTTCATAAATCATAATAACTGCATTCCACCTTGCAAACTACTTCTAGCTAAAAAACATTTAGCCAAATTCATCCACATTTTCTATCGACGAACTGAAGAACTTAGATACACCAAGAGCCTTCTCAACATCTTCATTTCTTGGCAAGCAAAGCATGCAAAGCTTTCTCATTTCAAATCGCATTCTAAAAGAGGAATATATGAACTTAATGTTAAGGTTTGTAAGAATCTTCATTGTGTATTATTGCCTGATAAATGTATTAGGATTTTCATGCTTAGGACATTAAAGGAGACATATACTAATGAGGTAAAAGATACTCACATCAACATATTAATGCATGAATATGAATTATTTAGTATCTTACCTATTCAACCTACCTATAATATGTACACTAAATTTATTAAAATCATCAATATATTATTTATTATTGAAGAAACGATAAAAATCAAGATTTTGTTTACTAAATATTAAGGTGTCGTAAAAAAGAGAGATGTCATAGTGGCTGCCATTAATGTCATAATAAATTTATCTTTATATTATTATTAATTAGTTAAAAAATGATTTGAAGTTTGATATCTCTAGAAAATTCACTTGATCAACACAAATCTTGATGTGATACTTGAATCTAAACCTTTCTAAATTAAATACAAGACCTTTCAAACTCATATTTCAACAAATTATTGTTGAACTAAATGTCTCTACATTTATAATCATCAACATCACAAGTGGTCCTATCTAAGTACAAATGAACCTAAATCAAATATTTGAAGTATATTTAGAAACATCAGGATAATAGTTGAACGAGTAAATACTCTCCAAATTTTATGTGTTGAAAATCAGATCGAGCAGCTTAATGAGATGAATCCTATGAGCTCAAGATAATTCAATTATAATAGTACTGTTTAGGCATTTAAAAGCTGGATAAGCAATCTATAATCATATGGATCAATGTGGGTCTTTAATTGAGTATTTAAGATTTTGAATAAATTTATCAAAATATCCATCTCCAAAATGTTATAAATAAGATATCATTTTTTATATTATGGAGGTTGGAGAGCTGAGAGAGCTATAGACTTATATTATATATATTTTTGGATATCCGCTAATGGCAATCATCAGTAATCATTGCCGCCATTTTCAACTAACTTATAATTAACAGCCAACCCTATTATTTGACTGCAATTATTCGCTTATGGCCAACTGATTTTTGTTATACCTATAATATGAATTAAATAATTATTTTTAATTACATAATATCATTTTTTATTATAGAAAAATATAAATTTATTTATTTACAATAATATAATAGATTATTATAATTAGATTAGACTTCATAATTTTTTAAGATTTTTGCATACATAACACCTAAAGCTATTGAAAATACATATTTAAAATTTAAACTTCTATATTTACTAATATACCACATAAAATCTCCCTTTCCTTCCATTTTACCACTCCATTGAAGCGATGATATACTTGTATTCACTGTAAAAGGATGTCATTGATGGAGAAGACAGCCGCTGATAGTGATTTTTTATGGAAGGTTTAAAAGAAATGTTAGAATTGATTAAAAGATGGATTTTATGTGGTATATTAGTAAATATAGAAGTTTAGGTGTTAAATATGTATTTTCAATAATTTTGGGTGTTACGTATGTAAAAATCCCTTCAATTTTTAAATTTTTCATATAAAATTTGTATATCTATTTCATCTTCTATTTGTATATGCTCTATTTTTATATTAAATTAAAATGTGAAATGTTATTTCATCATAAATAATAAAATTGGTTTTAAATCGAATTATTTAGAATCAAATTAGCTCGGTCCAAAATAAATTTAATTTCAGATCAAATTCAATCGAGCTAGAAAGGAAATTTATTTCGAATTTAGTAACTCGATGGAGCAGACTCGGCACCGGTTTGCTCGTCTTCCTCCTGGCCGTTCTCTTCTCCAAAACCTCCATCCTCCCACCCCGCCGATTTCCTGAACTCGGACTTATATCCCGCCCCCTCGAGCTCGTCAAGCTGACAGGTGATTCATCGATCCCTGGTCGAGGCCGCGCGGCTCCTTGGCATATCTTCTAGGGTTTATACGTACTACTCAAAATTTGCTAAGGCTTTTTATCGACATAGAAATGATGGGCCCTCAGAACCAGTCTACGTCATTGCAACGCCTTAATCATGCCGAGAAGGTCAGACAACGATCTTAAACAGATACCTAATTATTTCTTTTTGCTATTTGACGATATGTTATTGCTTTGCTTTTGATATGATGTTTCAGAGGATTGTTCGTGTGCTTGAGCTCGCTGGATTGGTGATGGATGAGCTTGCTAATTCGACCGGCCCCAGGACTGAAGTGCTCGCTGGTCATTGCCGAGAGTTCATGAAATCCATTAAGGTGTTTCTCCGAGAATATCTGTTTCCTTTTGCATATTGTTAAGACATATTTAGCTTTATTTTGGAAAATGATTGCTTAAGGCTATAGCAATTCCCAAAATACGATGTGCTAAGCTTTTGGGTAACGCGGTCTAACGAAATACCTCACGATTTGTTAGTAAGTTGTTAACTTACTCTCATTGCTTTGATTTGGTATTATTATCACAACGTTGCTGTTGTGAAATGGAATAAAATAGTATTTTGTATGGGCTTTCTTTGACATTATCAATATTCTCAACAATCAAAACTGCAGTAACAACAATAACAACCACCTTTAATATTTCTTACTGGATAGGTGTATTCTATTGTCTTGATTAAAGCTTACATGTAATCAGCCCTTCATTTTTCTTGTTGACACCTGTATAGTGATTGCTTTCTTTGATTTTATTTTCATGATGGTCTGTCAACAACTTATGTGGCTTTCGTTTGTCTTGAAATAGGAACTAATGAAGCTCTATTAGATTATGAAAAATTTGTACAAGTTGGCTTTTTTCTTTCAAACGAATCTAGTAGCAATAATAGTAGTATACTTAATGACAAAGCTGAAAGTCATGGGAGATAAGTCTTGTATTTGACTAGTTATCACTTTCAGTGTAGCAAAGTGAACCAAATTTGTGCACGATCTTTTATGTGAACAATTTTTATACCTGAACTCCTATCTGTCTATAGCATCGAGTCGGGTCTAGCTCATGAACTCTATGATGCATTTATGATAATATTTTTCTATTAATTATTAGGCACAAATATTAAAATATGCTCTATGAAAGAAAAACATAATGACTGATCATAATGGTCTCCTTCATGGCTGAGTCTGTTGAAACATGGTATTGATTGAGAATAAACACTCTGTAAGTTTGTGGAAATGCCACACAAATGCTCCTCATCTTTTTAGTTCTCAATTCCTGCAAAAAATAGAGATAAAATAGACACTAAATAAATTAGTGATCATTGTAATCATTAGTCTTATACCAATTATTATCTCACTCTTAAGCATCCTCATTGTTCTTACATATTGATTTGAAATATTTTTTCTCATTCAACATCTTTTTTTGTCTTCAAAAATATATTTAAATGATTTGTTAACCATACCCGTATAATATTCTCATAACTCTTCAATCTCTATAAAACTTTACTTTTATGCATCTTCTTTAGAGCTAACTCCACTTTATTTATTTTTTTGAATCAGTTCATTATATACATCATTAATTTCTTCATTATATTCTTTTGAACTAATTCGTTCTTAAAACTCTTATTTAAAATTTCTCAGAGTAGCGTTTTTATATTTCTTGATTATTCATTTTTAACTAGGATCTAGTTATATTCACTTACAAGGTATCTAACCTAATCAATGGCCTTAGATTTCTTATTTATTGTCTCCTTGTCTTCTTCTTCCGTGCCAAGCTTATTATATTAATCATTAAAAATTATAATTTTTTATTTTCTACCACTCTCTTTGTAAGAATTCTAGTTTTCTTAGAACTATTGTAAGCCCTAATAGTGTTTGTCTGTATCCACTCTTTAGAAGTATTTTTCTTAATCAATCTCATGTAAAATCATAGGCTATTGTGAAATAATCTATATTTTCTCCCATTGCATTTTTATCTTCTATTTCATACACATCTTAAATTTATAATCAAACTTATTTGAAGTTTATTTCCATTTAAATTACCTCCAATAAATGCCACCCTCTCTTTATCAACCATACATTCCCAAAATTGAATTTTGAAACTATTTTCTTATTATCTTTAGGAACATAAATAATGTATTAATGATATCTTTATCAATAATCAACTTAATGGAAATCACTGCATCATTAATATTTTTTTCTCGTCGACTTTCCATTTCTACACTTTTTAGTCCAACTCTATGTGTATTATTAATCCATATTTTCCAGATTTCTCTCCTTTTTTTTTAGTTTCTTGCAATGAAGCGATATTTATTCTTCTTTTAATCATTATTGTCACTAATTCTCTTATAATCTCATTCAAAATCCCTAAATTTCCCTAAATTTTGTATAATAAAATTAATTTTAGTTTTAGATGCAGTCGACCTTACTCACTTTTCATGACAGTTTGTTTAAATTATGGTATGTAACTTATGGGTGATGTCATAGTCAAGCTTGACTTTTTTTACTACAATCAGGTTAAGTTGTGGTGCATAAATTGGTGGTGATGTTCTAGCAACCTAGCTTATCTCTATAATTGGGTTTTGTTTTGGCAAGTATTTTTTCATGACAATTAAGTTAAATTAGGGTGTATTACTTGAGTGATATCATAGAAAATCCTGCCTACTTTTACCATAAGTTGGTTTAGTTGTGGTGCGTAACTTTTTGTTGATGTTCTAGCTACCCATGCTTTTCTCTAGAATTGGACTTAGCTGTGGCAAGCCACTTACGAGTAACATCCTATAAAATCTTTGTTTAATTCACCACAAACAAGTAAGATCATGACATGTTGCTTTTTAGAATATTGTAGTACTAGCAGAACTTCTTAAAATTATAGTAAACGGGGAGTGCACGTGCATTTGTTTCTATTAGGAATGTGTAAAACATTCAGGGAATCTTAAAGAGCCGATGAGGTTTGGTCATGAAGATGTTGAAATTTCCATGTTGCATTGGAAACTAGTAGGAGTTCATTAATTCCTACAGCATCATCTATCATATCTCCTCAAACTTGCTCAAAGTCACTATTTGCAGAACACTACAGAACTTTCTCGACTTATTCTTAGCTTTAAAAAATGTTATAGGAAGTTCGACATTGTCCTCCAATTATACTAAAGCCTTTATTTCCTTGGAGATTGTTGTGCTTTGTGATCCAGTCCTGTCTTTGAAAAAAGAAATTGGAAGTTGCGCAATGTTGTTCTTTGTGTCTAGGAACTGAAGTTTGTGTGGTGTTTGATGTGTTAAATAAAAAATGCCTTAATAACTGTCATGTAGAATGTTGTTTGCATTTATTATCAGTACAGTTGTGTTTCTGAAGCTCTAGGTATGTTAATTTGTCCTAGATGGGAGTTATTATGTTCTAATGGCGGTGATTAATTTATAATGGAATCTAGTAGCTTCTATAGGTAGAGACATGGTTTAAAATTGCGCAATATGAGGCTCGCCTTTGAGGCCCGCCTTTGCGCATTCTTATGTAAAACGCCTCCGATGGCTTCGCCTCGAGTTCTTTTCTGAGGCTTGCGACTCAACTTGGTTGAGGCCACCTTGAAGCCGCCTCGCCTCACTGGCATGAGGTTCTACGCCTCACGCTTATATATTAAAACTTACATAATCTTGAAGTAAATGATCCGACATTGGACTCTATAGGAGAGGCGGAAGGGAGAGAGCAATTCACCATAAATGATGATTCAATGAAGCGAACCCTTAGTGTTACAGTGCTGAGACTTATGAGTATTCTATGTGATATGTCAATTGCTATTATTTTGAAATGGATTAATTTAATGAAAAAAATACTGGATTGAGAAAAAAGAATTTTGAGTTGAACTTCATTTCATTTGCTTATTATTGAAGATATTTGATTTACTTCATATTTATGTTTTTAATTTTTATATTATTACTCATTAGATAATAAAAATATTATTCATTTTATGTTTACGCAATCTTCCTTGTTTGAATCATACGCCTCAACGCCTTGAGGCTTATGCTCGCTCAGAATGAAAAAACGCTCAATACCCAATACGTAATTTGGACAACATGGTAGAGAAGCTGTAATATGTATCACGAAATTTTTGTAAGTTTTAGTAGTTCATTGCACGAAACCTAACATTCCACCACTCTATATAAGTCTCAAGCTTGAAGACTTGGGACAGTAAATGAACCACAAAAATGCTACTCACTTGATAATGTTGAACAATCTTCATTGGGCCGTAACATTTTGAAAATTCATTGAGAAAAACTAAACAGCCCTTCAACTTGTTTTAAGACTCTTCGCTACAATTAGTTGAAAATACATTTGGTTTTGATATCCTAAGACGGAGCAAGTGAGGAATTGTCTGTGAATTCAGTTGTGAAAACTTAAACTTAGTAAAATGTCTGATTTTTTAAGTGTCATGTACAATAACAACAACACCTAATATAAGCCTTAGTCCTCACTATGTGGGGCGGTCACATGAATCCTGTTTTGCATTGTGGTCCGGTTTAAAAGATAATTCTCATTTAAATCTAATAAAGAAAGTCATATTCAAATATTTTCTAACGCATTCTTTTTAGTTTCTCTCTACCTTTCCTTTAACTCAAGTCAAATCTAATATCCTCAAACTTTCCTAAACGGGTCATCGGAAAGCCTCCGCTTTAATGTGACCAAACTTCTAGGCGAACTCCTCTATCTTAATCTTCCACTGGAGCTACTCAACCTTTTTCATGTTTATATGCTCATTTCGTATCCTATCTCTAGGGTCAAGCCACTCATCATCCCTAAGCATCCTCATCTCTGTAATCACTTAACTTAGTATTATGCTTCTCCTTTTAATGGCCAATTATCTAGTATTATGCTTCTCTTTTAAATGTCCAACATGCGCACATAAGCTTGTAGATCTCCTATTTATAGGAATTTCCCCTAAGTTTGAGGGGGACTTTTCTATCCGGCACAATAGCCGATGCTGTTCATCCACTTCAACCATGCCAAACTTGAATTACTGCTGATATATCCATTCAATTTCACATACTCTGAAAATAGATACCAAGATATCTAAAACTGTGTACTCTTATTATGATTTTGAATCGTCAAAAGTCCCATCCCTCAATTAGGTCTATTGGCTACTAAATTCCATCCATATATTCAATTTAGATCCTACTAAAGTGAAACCTTTAGACTCTAAAGTTTGACTCCATAATTCAAGTTTAACCTTCAATCTCTTTTTCTAGTCTCATCCATCAAGAAGCATATCATACAGCAAAAAAGCATATACCAAGGTACTATCCTCTTGTATGTCTAGTGAGAACATCCATGACTAAAGAAAATAAGATATGGACTTAGGCTGATCCTTGATTTGTATCCAACGCGAAATTGGACATACTTAGGCCTAAACATTGTGTTTGAACACAAGTATAAGCTCAATGCATACATATTTTTAATGATTTGAATATAAGCATAATTAACCTCCTTTCTTTTCAAGAAGCTTCTCCTAGCACTTCTTGAACTTTATCATATGCTTTCTCTAAATCAATAAATATCATAATGTATGATTCCTCGTTATTCCTCTCTATATTTACTCCATCAAAACTCTCAATAAATGTATGGCTCCATAGTAGACCTAAACGGTCATGAACGCAAAATTGATTTGAGAAACATTAGTATCATGGCGCACCTACGCTCCACTACGCTCCATAATCTCGCTTCCCATAGTTTTAAAGTATGACACATTAACTTAATTCTCTATAATTTGCCAATCTTGTGCATCACCTTTATTCTTAAAATAGAAATTAACCACATCATTCTCAATGATCTGACATCTTTTTAAGTCTTCAAAACAGTATTAAAAAGTTTAGTAAGCAAGAAATTCCTTCATCTCCTAACATTTCCACTCTCTATTGGAATATCATCAGGTCCAACACTTTTCACTTCATTTTTTTCAAAACCTCTCTAAACTTTGGTTTTACTAATACACCGATAAAATACAATCTTTATTTTCTTTTAGGTGATAAATTCACTAAATTCATGCGTATTTTTCACAATCTCATTAAAAATTTAGCAAATACCTCATCCACTTTGGTTGAATATCATCTTATAAGAATAGTACTTATTTTGATCCTTCATCTTAAATACACTTCACTTGACTAAATCTTACTACTCCTATCATCTTTGTTTGGCTAACTTAATCATATATCTTTTCTCTCTCCTTTAGTATCCTAATTTATTATATTAATTCATTAAAAGCTAAGCTCCTTTGCATCGCAATAAGTTTTTTTATGATTCCTTACTAGCCTCTTTAATAGCTTCCCAATTAATCAGAATTTTACAATCTAAACGGCAATTTTTATAACAATTTTTTATTTTTATCTTTTCTTGCCATTTGAATTCTACCACCAACTATTTTTACTATTAGGAGCTTTTCCCTTAAAACTCCAGCACATCTTTTGCAATATTTTAATTGTCAGCAAGCACTTTTTTCCCAATTGAAAAAAAAAAATAGATTTTTTTTTTCAAATTTTTTTTCCCAAAAAATTTTTTAGATTTTGAAAAAAAAAAAGGGGAATAATTATATGTAATTTCAACTGGAGTGCTATAGCTGATCATAAAAAGTTTTTAAAAAAAGAGCATCGAGAAGTTGTTTGACACATGTTTAATGTGGATTGTGGTTTGAAATGAACACTAACAAAATATTATCACTATCAACCTTAATTAAGGAATTCCACTTTGCTTCTGTTACTTAATTGTGGCAATAATGGGCCATTATATGAGTGAATTGGTGGATTAAAGGCTTAAGTTTATTGGATTTTTAATTCTAATAGCCTTTGAATGTTTGGTCGACATGACATATTTGTGGAGATGTCAAATTGGGTCCTGTAAATCAACTAGAAGTGGGTAACTGCATTCATAGTTTTTGTTATTTTGACTATGTAGCATCAAAGCATGCAATCTTGTTATTTATTTTGATTTTTCTTTGCAGTTTATTTATTTTAATTTTACTATAGATTTTTTAGTTTAGTTCTTGATTGGGGACTATTATAGATTGTTTTTAGGTCATGTCATAGATTTTTTTTTGGTCATTCTGCAATTGTTTATGTTCTATATCCACCTTCTGCTATCTTTATTTAACTATAAAACAAGGGCAATATTTCCTTGAATAATTGTTTGAAATATATGTGGTTTTGTAATATTAAAACGCTAGATGGTTTTTATTTGGGTGGGCTCTGTGGTGTTCGTGAGCTCAAGGAGTTGGGCTCGTTTCGGCATATTGGTCTTGCACTACATGTTATAATTATTTTAGAATTTTTTTTAGGTAGGTGCATTTAGAGTCTTATCTAAAGATATGATATTCTCTTGGACATAGCATACGATGATTAATTATCACACGATGGAATCGAAAAATATCATTTAAGGGGCAACCTTGTGCATATGTGATAGGATTTTTATTTATGCTTGGAGGATCGATGACTAGTGATCGAAGATATCATTAATTGCAATATCCATTGCTTCATTATCAAATTATTGTATGGATCTCCGTGTCCTCTAGTCAATGATTCAGTCAGATCCAAGGCCAGTATGATCTATAAGAGTTCTTATTCAATTGAGCAAGCATGGATGTTGCTCTTTCGAGATATTTTTTGAGTAGAGTATTAGGCATTAGGTGATAGTTATGTAAGTATTATGTACGGTCTCGAGATCTTAATTTTGAATCGATAAAAAACAAAGTTATGTAATTCGAAGATTAATATATAAGGATCATAGTGGTATTTTGAATAGATCATCCCACTATCAAGTGCGTCTGGAGCTATTGCTGGAGTTAATGGTGTCCCTATAGATGCTTGACTATTCACTGTGTAGTAGCTCTAGGCTTTGAGAGACGATTCACTAGGATAAGATAATGGATGGGTTTATCAGAGAATTCATTTCACGACTCATTCCTATGACTCACATAAGCACTCGAAGTCATGCACTATAATTCTCTTGTGCTTCATATTTTAGTTCATAGAATATTTTCAATGTACAATAAGGAATTGTTGTAAATACATGAGTCTGTGTAACGGCTGAGAATTTATGTGAAGCTCTTTGTCGAAAGACTCATTGTATTATTTGTAGGGTTACACTCTGGATCACTAGAAAATATATCACTGAGATCTAGGTATTGAGGTTAACACCGTTGAAGGGATTATTGTGGTGTGTGCATGAAGTACTTTAGTAACCCTATAGTTGGCCTGAACTCCATTTGGAGACATAGGATTGTGACTTGAAATAAGAGTTAAAGATCAATTAAGATACCAATAAATTATTACTTATTTTAGGTTTTGTCTTTAGGACATTTAGCGGACGGCAAAATAATTCACTCTGCACATGTAGACAAATTAAATACTTCAAGTATGTGAGTGCTTTTTGTTATTAGGTATGTTGATGACTTTATCATATTTCGAAAGGAAACATGCCATGAATGTCTGCTCGTTGGCAATCCATATATTTTATAGATGATAAGAAGACTAACCATTGATTTTTTACAGTATTAATTTTTAGAATAAGAGTGGAGAAAAAGCACTGGCTCTTAGTAATTCATCTCTGATTATTGAGAAGAAGTCTAAAGATGTGAACGGATGTCTGCGTTGTAATATTAGTGTGCCTCTATTCAGGATTTTGGTTTGATTATGGTAAGGTTTACATTTCATGTTTGATAGAGGAATAGCGATAGAGGATTATGAGTAAGTGTCTTTCGGAATGTTTCTGTCTTGTTGATCACAATTTTCGTTGTTGTTAGATTTAGTGCGATACTATCTGTGGGCTTGCTAGAAGCTTTGTATCGTCTGACAAGAGATTTGGTAACCAACGACTATAATTAAGATATCTTAGGACAATGGCTAAGCCCAAGTTTTGACTTGTATATGTAGATTATCAGAGTCGACACACTGGCGATTCCTGTGTTGAGTAAATTTTTGGAAGAATTGTTATTATAGTGTAAGTTTGAAAAACAACTATTTTTTTCTAGATGAATAGTCTTCGCACAACAACCATAGGACGTCGCAACCTTCTCATAGGATGGTGTGAAATGCTCGCTAAAGTGAGTGAGGTTTATCGCTGATTGTTAAATGCATCATCAATAACTATGATTGCAGTATCACCTTCTATAAGAATCATTACGAAATACCTTCATTCCTCTCTAAGAATAGAAGGAGACATAGAAGGAACATAAAGTACAAGACTACACTCAATAGGATCCGTAACCTTCGGACTCTTCTAAGGGGAAGGAATCGATCCGATAACTGCTAGATCTCTTGTTTATCTCGTAACTTTGAGGAAGGTTACTTCTATATGTTCGTGTTTACGTAATCTGCTTAATAGGCGAAATGACTTGAAAATTTTGAAAATTACGAACCTAAGCATAATGCAAAATAAAAATATATTCTAAAATCTATTGCTTTTAAAGGTAGCAAAGAGCCATTAGTTCGTCAATTAAACAGATGTTACAATTGAGAAATGATTAAAATGTAGGATACTTTGATAGATATTAAGGTAAAAAATGGTTCGTTTCCTCTACGATCTCTCCGTGTGGTGTGTGGTTATAAAACTGTATATAGAACAAGTTTATTCTTGTAGTTTAGTATAGTAGAGAGTCAGCGGGATCATAGTTTTCTATTTCCATTATTGAGATATATAGATTATTAAAAGCCTAAATGGTCAAAATCTGAGCCAATGGTGTATGCCTGATATAATTCATTATGATAAAGACATTAATGGAACTTCGGATATGGAGGACATGCAATTTAATGGTATTTGATGACTAACATGTGTTGGTTTGACTGTGAAAAAAGGATGAAGTGAATGTTGCATTATCTTTTTGGTGATTGCATTTTACATAGAGTTACATGTCATCTGGGAAATACTGTCAAGGATAATGAGTTTATCTTTATTTTCCCCTTTGTGTAATTATTATATATAATATCTCTCTATCTTTAAATTTCACAACTATTACATCCCTTATTGACACTTTATAGCTGTGTATATGTCAATTCAGTCATAGTGACTAATTATTCTTTCGGTTCCCTGAATAAATCATATTTCCGTAAGTTAGTCTGGATTGTTCAGACGCAGGGCTCTTTGTTATAATTGTTGAGGCACGCTTTCATTATTCTCTATCTTGTTGTGGTCTAGGATAGAGTGCTATCTTCATAAGGGTTTCTAACAGACTTTGAATAAGGATGGTAAGTGCATTCCTTGGTGGCCAGAGCGTCTGATAGCAAATAAGCAGCGACGGTAGGTAATGAAGTAAAGTATAATACACTTGAATTGATAATGCGAAAGGCAATGATTTCATCTTAATTATATAATGTGAAAATAAACTCGCTCTGAGTTAAACTAAAAAAAAAAAACTCTAGCTAGTGAAAGTCTTCCGCCTCACAGCCTGAGAACAGGAACATAAGAATATTCAACAATGAATAATTTGGGAGAATGATTTGTCTCGACAGGTTCTTTAGCATTCTCGTTTCTGTAATTGAATTCTAGTCTTCTCCTTTTCAACACCTGCTGTGCTTGGCTTCCACTGAGGGAGGAGATTGCTTAGCGCTTCATATTTTCGGCAATGTTGATGGAGGCGAACTCACTCATAAACATCCCCAGTGATATAGGTTTGCGCCAAATAATTTTTCCATGTTCAAGGAGTTGAAAGACGCAATCCTCAGTATACAATGAAAGATCTTCCATTCATGTGCGAATCTTCTCTTCTAAAAAGGTCCCGAGTTCTTCCTCCGGCAGCATTCTGCCACCCGCCCCACCCAAGTAAAAATTATCCCCATACTTTACCATATAGAGCAGGCAAATGTAGTGGCATTGATATGTTGTGGGAGCGCAGTCGTGAAGTCAGCTTTCAATCTCTGGTGGTATGTCTAGTTTGTACTTAGGTTGATTCCACAGAATCTGTGGGATTTTGGCATGGGCGGAACCTTGCGAATAGCGAGATACACTCTTTGTCTTTCGGATACCAGCACTATGGCTGGGTGGCAAAAGTTCGTCACACGCTCTAGAGATTATACACACTGCATAGTCTTGGCATGTTGTACAGTTGTGGACGGGGAAAAAGAGTCTGTGGGCAGGCCGGCTGACCAAAGGCTTAGGGGCGATTGCCCTTGCAACGCCTCGGTGAGACCGAATCGAAGGAAAAGTCTGAAGATAACTTTTGGGAAGTTTATGGAGTGTGCAAATTACGTGACGTTACAATCCGATTAATTCTTCGTTCTTTACAAACACAATCATATTCCACAAAACTAACACGCGTTATAGTGTCAAAGGTATCACATTTGGTCGTCACCAAGGAGGATATATTGTGTCCACTATCGCACTCATACACAAATATACATTGAGCTCATATAAGGTCATTTATGTAGTTAGTGATTTACGCAAATCTATATCCCAATTGGTTTCTAGGCTACCAGTAAGTGCAAGTCGATAGATTCATTTAAAAAAAAATTTAGATGCAGAGATAAATTGTCAGTACGTCATTTTAATACTCCAACTCTCGTCAATGTGCTCACTAAAATGTGAATCCCCATATGGATCTAGTTCAAGGGATGGTCAGATATATATACTAACCTTCATCACATCCATTTGAATTAATCAGACATCCATACTTGAGGCTGGGTCATATTGCCATTTTCGCCAATGAGTGTGTGGTGTGGTGTGAGGAGGGGGGGCAGAATGCTGCCGAGAAGGGCTACGCCTGATTTTTAGAGTGCAATGTTTTTTAGGGATAGATCATAAGAATTGCTCATACTGGATAGAGAACGACAACTCAGCACTCAACTCTTGTAGTTCTTTTAAAATTCGCTGCAGGGAAAAAGAGCTTTGGCCAACGCTAAATACATCTTGCGCTCTCCTTATATACATATAGCTCGTGATGGAAACTAGTTATGCAGACTCGTCACGCACACAACCACAAGCTGAGTTTCATCCAGACTGAATCTCACTTGTTAATACAGGATCGTATATTCAAAGATCCGAATAGACATACATAGCTTTTCTCGTGATATCAGAGAATTCATGTAAACCCTGTATCCTCACACACTCCGAAAGACTCTCGACCGCTGTCTCATCATGATCAGGCAATAAAGCGAAATGACAGGATAATGAAACTTGGTGTATTCCTATAATTTATGTCTATACCGGATAATCTTTACTGCAATAATCCTCTGCGAAAGATGCGGGGTCTCTCAAACAGCTGCTCTCTCTTGTATCTTTTTTTCTGTGCATATGCTTGATATTGAAAGATTGGTAACTCTGCAT